CAGATTAAGCTCAGAGTAGTATTTGATGCTTCTTCCCTTACTGACTCTAACACGTCTCTAAACAACCATCTTATGATAGGCCCAAAGTTACAGCAAGACATAAAAGGTATCTTGACAAGATTTAGGATGTATCCAGTAGTTTTTGTGGCTGATATAATAAAAATGTACAGGCAGATTTTAGTTCATCCCTCTGATAGGGTATATCAACACATTTTCTGGAGATTTGATCCTTCTGAAGCTATTCAGAAATATGAACTGAATACAGTAACGTATGGTACTACCTCTGCACCTTTTTTAGCCTTGAGAGTCATGAAACAGCTAGCAACCGATGAAGGGACTGACTATCCACATGCAGCAAAGGCTATTCTTCAAGACATGTATGTCGACGATCTTGTCACTGGTGCTTCTACTGTTGATGAAGCCTTGAAACTCAAGGATGAAGTAATCAATCTTTTACACAAAGGTCATTTTGGTCTAAGTAAATGGGCCAGTAACTCTCAGGAAATTTTAAATGCAATCAATCCTTCAAAACATATCAAACAGATCAACCTCTCATCTAGTGAAGATTCAAATGTCAAGATCCTAGGACTTCAATGGAACCCTTCAAGCGACACGTTTGCATACCAGATTGAACAATTTACCCCTGTGTTTACTAAAAGGGCCATCCTATCAGCTGTTGCAAAGATTTTTGATCCTCTAGGATTCGTTTCTCCTGTGATAATGATTGCAAAGAGCATAATACAAAGCCTATGGAAATTGAAGCTGGGCTGGGATTCGGAAATCCCAACTAACTTGAAGACTCTATGGAATGACTTGACTACTCAGCTAGAGAACCTGCAACATCTTAGTATTCCAAGATTTGTAACATCTGACAAACCATACAAATTGCAAATAGTAGGATTTGCTGATGCTTCAGAAAAAGGATATTGTGCTGCACTGTATCTGAGAGTTATTAGTGACAAAATAATTACAAACCTTCTAACAGCCAAAACTAAGTTAGCCCCAATCAAGACACTGTCTATCCCACGCTTAGAGTTGTGTGGAGCCTACCTGCTTGCAACAATATTCCACTCTGTTATGGAAACCCTCAGCCAATTTGCCAGTAATCAGTTTCAGAAGCCTATTTTCTTCACTGATTCTTCAATTGTCTTAGGATGGCTGAATACACCAACTTACAAGCTTAAAGTTTTTGTAGCAAACAGAGTTGCACATATCTCAGAACATACTCCTGTTTCATCGTGGAGACATATTAAATCAGAGGAAAATCCAAGTGACCATGGTTCTAGAGGACTTTTACCAGATAAACTAACTAACTGTGATCTATGGTGGCATGGCCCTAAGTGGATGAATATGCCTGAAGATAAATGGCCAGAGTCTACAGTACAGTTCCAGCAGCAGCCCCTACCTGAAGTGAAAGCTGAACCACAAGTGCTTGTCTCAAATAGTACTGAGCCAGAGCTTATCAAGATGATGGAAAACTATTCTTCATACTACAAACTTCTACGTGTAATATCTTGGATCAGAAGATTTATCTACAATTGTCAAGCTAAACTACACAGTACTAGTCGTCTTAAAGGACCCCTTCAGCCTAAGGAAATTCAAGAGTCCTTACTATCCTGCATCAAGAAAATTCAATCACACTTTTTCTCTATTGATGGCGACAGAAGATGTGCAACTGCTGTCCTCAATAAGTTTCATAAACTTACCCCTTTCTTTGACAAACTGGGGATACTCAGGGTGGGCGGCAGGCTAAATAATGCAGCTATCCCAGAAGATCAAAGACACCCAATCCTTCTGCCAAAGTGTCATTTCACCTTATTGTTGGTAGATTATTACCATAAAATCTACCTACACCCAGGACCCAACTTGCTTCAAGCTCTGATTCAATTACGATTTTGGATACCATCACTGAGAAATATTGTCCGTCAGCGAACCTTCAAATGTCTAAGGTGCTTCAAGCTAAAGGCTGAAACCTTTTCCCCGATGATGGCTGATCTTCCTTCGCAACGAGTGAATGTAAGCCGAGCATTTTTACATGTTGGTGTTGACTTTGCTGGACCTTTGACTATGAGAGAGTCGTTAAGAAGAAAAGCAACCACTGCCAAGACTTACATCTGTGTTTTTGTCTGCATGGCTACTAAAGCTTTACATTTAGAGCTGGTAACCGCACTCTCAACAGATGCCTTTATGGCTGCTTTCAGACGTTTTATTTCTAGAAGAGGTCTTCCTGAACAAGTGTATTCCGACTGTGGAACCAACTTCAGAGGAGCAGCTAATCGTCTTCGAGAGTTAGGATTATGGTACTCCAATCAGACTACACAAGAAGAAATTCTACAGCAAACTACTAAACTGGAAGTAAAATGGAATTTCAATCCTCCCTATTCCCCACACTTTGGTGGACTGTGGGAGTCGGCAGTTAAATCAACAAAGACACATTTGAGGAAGATAGCTGGAGAAACTGCTTTGACTTATGAAGAGTGGTCAACCTTGCTCACCCAAGTAGAAGCAGTTCTGAATTCAAGACCACTCTGTCCTTTGTCAGCTAGTCCAGAAGAAACTAATTTTCTTTCTCCAGGACACTTTCTTGTTGGATGTCCTCTTGTTGCTCCTCCCGAACCTTCTCTTCTTGATCTTCGAGAAAACGTCCTTACAAGATGGCAACTAGTCCACAAGATGGTTCAACATTTTTGGAAGAGGTGGCGAGTGGAATACTTGAACATCCTGCAAGCGAGAGGAAAATGGACAAGATCTTCTACAAACCCTAAAATCGGAGACTTGGTTCTTCTTAAGGATCAAAATGTACCTATCTTGCAGTGGCCTCTTGGAAGAATCATCAAGACTCACCCAGGCAGTGATGGAATTGTTCGAGTGATGACTGTCAAGACCAGTGACTCTGAATTCCAACGTCCAGCTGTGAAATTGGTACCTCTTCTTTCAATCAATTCTGACCCTTTTAAGTAAGATGCTAGAAATTTCCTTTGAAATTTCGGTGGGCGGTATGTTTGAGCATTCTCAAATTAGGTCTAAACTTAAATTTATTTTAAATAAAATAATACTTGTTTTGTCATTTAAATAATAGATATTTAAATGTTTTGTGTGAAAATAAATAACTGCACTTTTTGGTTCAATTTAGAATAATATTTTAAGTGAGTTCATAAAATAAAATTGTATTAAGTTAAGCCAGACAGAGAGAGAGAGAGAGAGATAGGCAGACAATGCAGAGGAATGTGCTGCGTATCCTGCTTATCAGTTCCAGCCGACATGATATAGACTGAACAGTGGTTTTTCCTGTACACTGCTCCAACTCACGCAGTTACTATGCAGTCTTCATGTGAATCAAACATTATGAGGGTCTCTGAATCCCTCTAATTATTTTACCATGGGTCTCAGTATCCCATATTAAATCATCAATTATTGACTCTATTGTTTCTACAGAAGTTTTATTTAACCGTGAGGAACATTCACCAGAAGTTTGTGTGCACACAGTGTTATATTTTATTTTCTCAAGAAGTGTTAATCTCCATTACTTGGTATTAACGAACATTCGATAATTTCTTCTCCTCGAGGTCGTGAGTACATCTCTACACATCATTCCTCTCTGTCTATTTCAATTTGGACTTAAATATCTCAGCAAGAGAATAGTTTTGATTTTAATATTTTTATTGTAAAGGGTTAATTTAATTTTATATCATTATAATATTTTCTTAACTCAAATGGATTTATTATTTTTCCAATAGTAACTCACTGTTTAGACAGATCAGTAAACTTGCTTTCTACTATATTGACAAATATCTATTGAACCAGCAATTATTCAGTTTGATAGCAAAGTCAGGAATTTAATTTTTTAATTCCCCTTTGTTCAAACAAAATCAGTGCCAGTGGATTTTTTGGTATCGGCCTATTTCGCCCTGTTCCACAGTCATATCTCATATGGGTTGTTATTATGGGGACACTGTCCAAAGAGTCAGAAGATTCTGCGGCTCCAGAAGAAAGCAGTGAGGCTTTTGACTTCATCTGGCCGTCGAGACCACAGTAAGCCTCTGTTCTCCTCTCTTAACATTCTTACCATCTTTAGTCAATATGTACTTGACTCCGTCTGCTACGTTAAGGAGAAAATTGGTGACTTTATACAGCGTGGTGCAGTACATCAGCACAACACTAGAGGAGCTATCGATCTGGATGTGCCAAGATGCAGACTGGCTAAGTCACTGAACAGCTTCCCAGTTATGGCAGTGAGACTTTTCAATAGACTCCCAATTGAAGTAAAGCAGGCGAACAATGCCCAGTTTAAAAGATTGGTAAGGGAGAGACTCCTGGTGGACCCCCTATTTGACATAGACGAATTTATGAGGGAACCTTGGAGAGGAGCCATCCGCAATCCAAGATAGCCTAGACATGAATTGACACAGCCTATCCAGATCATCTGGTCATCGGCGACGCAGTGGTAATTAAGAGGTAATTAAGGTAAATGTTTCAAAGATACTGGCATTTTTTGTAAATAAATAAGACAATGAAAATGGGTTGAATACTGAACGATCTTCTTAAATTCACATGGTTTATGGATAAACTCTATTCCCGCACACTTGACCATAAAAGACAACTAAGGGAATCGGAGTAATTAATGGACATAGAATTTTAGCGATGATTAAGTTCCCCGCTTCCATACAATACCTGTTAGTATTTCAGAACACATAGCTTTGTTTTAGTTTTAAATTTCGCAGGCCTATCATTTTCCCCCAAATTTTTTTTTTTTTTTATCATTGAGGTTCAGATTAGCAAGACTCTAGTGTAGTTAATAAATTTTAGTTAGTTTCATCCTCTCCATGAAATACATTGAAATATTTGAAAACTTTACTAAAATCACTGCACAACACTAACACTGACAACATTGCAAATTTAACTCAATCAGACGTATAACATCAAATGTATCAACACATTTTATAAAAGCCTACAACTATAAGGAGTTCTAATATTTCAACCACAAATTTTAATCCAATTACCTGTAAAATTCCTGTGCCAAGTAATTGGTAAGAGTATTTATGAGGAGTTTACCCCCCACGTCTTCAGTGTACTCTGTATCCTGAATGTTCAAAAATCCTCGGTCTACTTGTATCAATGTTACGTCACAACTTCTGCCTCCTACTCTGTACACCAATACTTTCCTGTCAAACAGAGAATAATTAAAAATCTACAAAATAACTCTTTCACAATAATATTTAATATGTCGAATGTTTAGGGCTAGATAAACTTGATTAGATTAGGTTCAGGAACGAAAAGGATTGGATAATGAGAAAGGGGTTTTATAATTTTTTTTAATAGGTTTTTTTTTAAATTTGCAAACATAAAGCTTGAAAATTCGTATTTTTTATTACAGTCAATGTGTAGCCTAGAACTTAGTTAGGCAAATACCTACTATTAACATTTGACAAAAACAAAACACCTTTTCCCTTCTCTGTAGCAGAAAACCTAGTAAATACTCAGCAAACTTATTTAGATAGGGAATAAATCTGACATTTTTAAGCAAATACTTTGGTAAAAATCTAATCAGGTAAATGGAAATTTGCTTAGTCTGCAAGATTAGGGGGATATTTTTACACACTTACCGCTGAAAATGCTTATAATTATGGTTTAAATATGCTACATGCACATAATGAAATAATCACAAATTCTGTAATAGTCGATGAATCGGGATGCGGTGAACACGCAATGAAAATGGGGGAATCGCCCTACGCGCATAAAAAATACCAACTCACGGTAGCTGTTCTCACACTGAAGCAATGAAATACAAGTCGGGTAGCGGCACAGATTAGCGCCTTGCATGGTCAGTGTGTTAATAAAAAAAACTACCAACAGCTGGTCCATATAAATGGGATGTCTATTTCAGCACTTACTTTGTTATGCAATCTGAGAGCAAGTCGTATCCCAGAATGGCCGCTGCTGGTTCACAGATTATATGCATTACATCCCATCCTACTGCCTCCGCTGCAGATCGCAGCTTGAACCTGCCTTCATCAGACATGAGTCGAGGCACTAACAGAACACATGAGGCTTCACTCTCCGCTCCTGGGACTGCACTTCTAGCAATCTCTAAAAAATACACACAGAACATATGGATTTAACTCTTTGCAGTTTTTTTAACTAGAAGCAAATTGGTTCTATTTTAAACAAGAGAACAATTTTATCAAGCGTAAAAAATACACTTTGTGTACAAGTTGCACATAAAATTTTTCCTACAGTGTAGCACTGTAGGCCTGGCAGACCAAACCTCAAATAAAATTGTTACACCCGCTCGAGGCACTCAAAGAATTGGTATTTCAACACTATACAACACGTTTTTAGGTTAGGTTTAATCCAAACATTGAACAAAATGGGAAACGCTGCACCAGCTGTTCTTAGTTGTAATATCTTTAAATGTTCCCAACTTATTTTCAACCGTACACATATAATGTGAGTAATGAAAGTATGCTGTTTTGTGTTGTTTGGTTGGAATAATGGAGTCCGGCAAAAAAAAAAAAAAAAGGGTGCAACAAAAGTAAAAAGAGTGCTGCAAATAGCAACTTTCTGTGCTATAATCAGAGCAACTACTTTGTCAGGTGACTGCAGAAAAAATTATTTAAAATGCAATCACCTATGACCTATCTTTACAGGTGTATCCAGGTTCTCAGCTGGAATTAGAGAGTATAAATTCCTCCTAGGGAGGAGACATTAACCTTACAAGCGCAAAACAGATGTGCAGTATCAGGCCGCCGTTGTGACTTAAACGTTTGACACCAGTCTTCAGTGCTACCGACTACAATGTTTAAGGCTCAACAGAAGGCACAGAGTGATCTGTGGTTTGCAGGGTGTAGAACGATTGTTAAATTAAATTAAATTTATTCACCTGGTAAAAAGCAAAGTTATGACAAAAGTCAAGATTATCCGACAATCCTACATCAGAACCCCAAAAAATCAATTGCCCGACAAAGTCTTCAGTTAATCATACCTAATTCCACACTTCATGTGGCTATTCGTTAAATATTGAGACTTGGTGCCTACAAAATTCAGTTGTAAAAGACTAACTGTTACCAGTTACCAGATTAACTACTGATCGCCCAAAGCATACAGACTGCCAGTTTTATGCTCATATGAGATTTATGACAATCCGAATTGCATTAGATTTTTCTGAATGTTATCAAAGTATGAAAAAAAACCTTTTCACTTCAATTTGACGTCTAAATTGTTTAATAATGTTTTTCAGATCCGCATTATTTACAGCATTATTTATTACAGGGTATCGTACCCTGTATTAAATAATGCTGTAATCACAACTGAAAATGTATAGTCTTAAGCAACTTCATGCTATTTTAAACTACTGTATTTGAATACTTTTAATGTAATAATAATTTACATAGTAACCCTCAAATATTTCCTTCAAAGAATGTAAATAGTATATAACAGAAAATAAAGCTGATTTTTAATTCAATTTGAAAATATGGAAGAACTTACCATATAAGGTACGAAAAATTGATCTGGCAATATCTGTTGGAGTCATATATTCTGTTCGATCTTCCAGAGGTAATTCGTAGCATAGTTCATCCTCTCGGAGCACAGTGGCCACTCTCCGATGGCCATTTTCTAGTTCAGGGGTGTTTGTATCCAGCATGCGTTTGTTGCACACGACAGTGGTATTCCAGCGTGAGATCATTAATGATTTGCATGCTGTTCCAACAACCTGTACCAATCAAAAAAGTTGTTCTAATATATTTGAATAAAAATTTAAATCTTGGTATCCAGTCCTAACTCATTAAAAACAACTAATAGTAAGTTAGCTTACTTTAGATTAAAGAATTTAGAAAATTTTATGTTAAGACATACAGTAGGACCTTGATATTTCAAATCTAAAGGGGTATGGTTAAATATTCAAGTTATAATTTTTTTTGACTAAAAGAGGTTCAAGTTATCAAGATGTTATAGCTAAAAAATCTAGATAGGCCTACTGAAGGTGTTCAATACTGTCAATGATGTTACATCACAACTTTCGTAACTCTATTTTAACATTCAAACTCCATTTATTTATATCTACTGAATAAAAATCCTTCAGAAGATTTTCCTCTATAAATTTTAAATACTAAAAGTACTCCCTGTTTTGTAATGAACTAAAAAACGAGTACCGGTAGGCCTATTTCAAACTTTAGAAAAAAAAAACTTTCAGTATGATGGAGTTTTCCATGCATTATCTTGGAGGACCTTACAACTTTTGTTGACAACATAATTACTTTCCCTGTCCGGAAATCAGACTTTGCTTTTCCACAAATTAGCTACCGATATGGCTTTGTCATTCGCTTGTAAAATATCATCTAATGTGCAAGACTGGTCTAGGCGTGGACAGATCAGCAGATGGCCAGGATCCTGAACAGCACCACACGCACACAAGATGTTTGACAACCAACAAACTAATATAATATTATCAGTTTTACAAACAACTGGAAAGTTTACTTACATTTTCATTTTCAGTGACCGTAACGATAGCAGGTGTAACTCTTTCCCCGGCATGGTTTGCTATAACTTCAATTTGGAACTTGGAGTCATCTTTCTGTAAAAAATTAAATAAAGAAGGCTATAGTCTAACAAACTTCCATTATTAGTTTTGACTAAAGAAGAAGATATTCCAATTGGGACTGGGTATTTGTGTGATTTTTATTGTGATCACGCCTTATAGTTCTAGATGCAATGAGCACAGCCAATATAAGCTACTAACATACCAGGTTAGAATAAAATATGTTGCTCAAGGTCAAATAGGGTGGGGAAGAAGTTAGAGGAAATTTATTTAAAGAACACTTTAGTGAACTGGTCTGTTTGTGTAAACAAGCCATTAGACTTGGTTTTGGTTTCAGAACTGTTTTGAAAAAATAAAATATTGTTCAGCATATGACCCACAAATAGGCAAAAAGATATTAACTGTTGGGAGAATGTTGGTATATTATGCAAGGGTGATTTATCCTATTTTTTAAAGCTAACTCGGCTATTGCAAGTAGGCCTCTACAAACTGCAGGCCATGAAATGCTACTAAGTTATTTCGCTTAAGTTACTTTTGGAAACACAAAATTTACGGGTCTTGTGAATTTTTATTGATAAAGCCTAAGAATGTTGAGGAAAAAAATTGAAGTAGGCTATTATGTTAAGACCTTCCATTCATAAACAATCTTAGATGTCGATTTTTGACATCCTGATAAACTGGCACAATGAGATATGTTATACACCTAGCCGAAAGTCTGATAGTTAGTGTGCCTACATTTACTATAAGTAGCTTTTGGATGGTTATATTCAAGCCCTCATGTTGTGGTCGGTGTGTAGGTTATACAATTGAAGACCTCAAATGGTGTATGGACCCTTATTTGTATTTTTTAGGCTTCTCATATTTAAGAAACTGTCATAGGCCTAACTTTAACAACCAAATTAAAAATATAGCTTTGGCAACAAATTAACAACCGAGTAGAGCCTGTGTAGTCTCAGCCCCGTACAAGAGCCTGTGTAGTCTCAGTCCCGTACAAGAGCCTGTGTAGTCTCAGCCCCGTACAAGAGCCTGTGTAGTCTCAGCCCCGTACAAGAGCCTGTGTAGTCTCAGCCCCGTACAAACCCTTAAATGTCATAGACATAGACATAAACTTATTTTATTTACACAAAACTTTCTTTTTAAAGTATATTCATACATAACTTAAGAACAGGCGTTTCGTCATAGTGATGATTTTTTAATTAAATAACTTAATATGGTAAGTTAGTTAAAATAATTCAAATAAACTCATTTAGGATATCAATGAATTTTTAACTACACTAAAGGGTTCTCCAAATAGCATGTTATCCCAGTGTATAGTACTCTTTATTAATTATTTTATCTTACTGACTGATCTTAATGATCTTTACATCTTGACTAAAATGGAGTTGCTGGGATTCGTCATCGGCCCTAAGATTACCTGAAGTGGCCATGAGGACAGCGTCTGTAAGGTCTACACGTCTCCTATGAACTCCCTCTTTGAGGAAATGCTACAATGTGTGACAGTAAAACTCAAATTTTTAAGACGTATTAAGGTCGATTCACACACATCAGTCCTGTCACAGTTCCGTTACAGTCCAGTTGCAGTCCAGTCACAGTTGCATCCGCAATTTCTCAGTCAATTGTCCGTCAGTTGGTTTCAGTCAGTCTTCCGTCTCTAATATTTACAGTAATTTACAGTCAAAAAATTTACATTTTAAACCTATGTTCTATTAAATTATCATTGTCTATCTTGTTGATTGTTACAAACAGTACTCAAAATACAAACGCAACCATTTAAATAACAATAACACTATTTTCTAACCTCAAACAGTTCCGTCAGGCGTCCAAACAATCAAAAAATATCGGTGAAAAGAAATCTGAAATTGACTGACGGATGCCGGCAGAGAGACTGACGGGACTGCTACGGATGAGTGTAGATAGCGCAATAGAAAATCCATCAAAGAATATTTTTGTTAACTGTGACGTGCCTGAAGTGACTTTACTGTGACGTGCCGTAACTGATGTGTGTGAATCGACCTTAAACCCTCTGTTTTCCAAAAATCTCTTTAAGCCTGGCTTCTCGATTGGCCACTGTATTCATTCAATGAAGTTAGGCCTAGCCTACTTTGATGCCTTGGGTCCACAATAGGCTCAACACTATCTTGCCCAAAAAACTTGTAGTAAATAGTGTATCTTTATTTTTGAACTAGGCCTAGTCTATTTAGATATTTTGGTCATCAATGTCACGGGAGGTGTTAGGTAGGCTAGGCTATCAAGGTAAGAAACAACTTACCTTGCACATAGCCAAGCATGCTCCAGAATTCCCCACGTGTATTCCAAATACCGGGTTCATTTTTCAATAAAGATGGGAACAGTAGAAAGATATTTTATCACGGAAGTAAGGAGTTACCAAAAATTATTATTTTATAGAAACTATGTTTGAAAAGAAAAGAACGTGACTTAACTTGACACTGGTTGATTTAAAAAAACGAGGTTAGAGGTTATGTTATGTCTGCTGTCTGCTAGTCTGCCTCCCAGTCCCACTCCACTCCCATCAAGAAGTCTCGAGTCAAATCCAATCCTATCCCAATCCCAATCCCTCCTTGCTAGTACTAGCCATCGCCACTAGGTGCGCTTTCGCTTTGACGTTCGCAACAGTTCGTCTAATTACCGCTAGGTGTCTCCCGAGTTGAATTTCCAGCTTTAACCCACCGTCGTTTAATTTATTTATATGTTACACTCAATCACCGAATTCGGACAATGTCCGAAATTTCTTCCCACTCCGCGATGTGGATAGTGTGAAATACCCACGTCGCGGAGTGAGCATTTTATTTCGGACATTGGCTGAAACGAAATGCCCAGACCGCGTTGTTGGTAAACTGATTTACTCAAACGCCGAAGACAAAAACTTCTTCGGCGATTGAGTAAATTCAAAATACACACAACGCGATGTGAGCAAAAGTGATTGCCCAGGTCGGGAAGTGGGTATTTCTAGTTTGCGCAAACGCCGACTAGTAGTTTATAAACTACCGTATACATAAAAATCTACATGAAATCTACAATCACCAGATAAAATAAATACAATTTATGTTTGTGATTATAATTATTTAATGTATAAATAGCATTTTATAAAATACAAGAAATCATAAAATTACCGAATAGGAACAAATAAAAAAAGGTCCATTACACATACATTGAAATTATGTTTTTCCGCTTTACAAAAATACTAGTAGCCTCAGAAAACGCCAATTATCACACAGTAACAAGAAGTTACATATTTCTTTTATTTTTCTTTGTTTGAAGTTCATTGTTGGCGATGGTGAGTTACTTTCTTTTACTTATTGGCTCAAGAGGTGCTGCCATGGCATTTATAATTGCATTTAACGTTTGACTTAATTTACATGATTTACTCAAACAGTTCTTCTTGCAACAACATCTTATAAAACCTTGTTTTTTAGAGGTTGGCGACTTCTTTTAACCTCTGATTTACCCGTCCACATAGACCACAGATCTGTGCGTGGAACATATCCAGCAAAGCAAGGGGTGAGCCAGTTCAGTACGAAGGTGAACTGTACTGATGCATTTTAGTGGCAGTGACCAGGATCCGAACCCACGACATCGCTGCCTTGGGCCCGAAGTCCGTAAAGCTACCAACTGAGCCACCGACTTTCCAAACTGTGTGGTTTGGATCCGGATGAGATAATCGCTTCTTTCCGTATGTTTACTTGGCCATCGGGTACATCCTCGGTGCAAAGAAATTTATTTGTCGCCACCTGGAATTGGAGTTCGTTTTTTTCTGTTTTCTTTAACATTTTTTTCTGCCTCGATAGTTAAAGACGTTTTACACTTTTCACATCTAATATCAATGGCAACTTTTCTTAAGCAGGGAGTGCACAAAGGTAACGGTAAGTCTAACTGCTCTCTATTTACGTCTTCTTTATGGATGTTCAGGCCACATTCAAAGCGGTTGCTTCATTTGTCGCAATCATTGCCACATTGTGAAATTATTTCGATTGACGTAGATTCTTGTTCTCCATGTTTGTTGTTGTATACAATCGTTGGTCAGAATTCTTGTGTAGTCATCCATAGGAGTTCCCCTTTCGTTCTCTACTTCGGTCAAACTACATTCTAGCTTAGAGAGCTCATATTCAAGTTCTTCCTCGGTTGTTATTATCTTCACGACTTCTGATGTCAAAGGAGAATCTATTAGTCCATTTCTCTGAGTTGCGCCGAACGGGTTTCTCTTAATACCCCTGTGGTAACTGTTGTTCTTAGTATTTTGTATGATCTTGAGGCCATTTGCCCAGCCAGAGGTGTTATTGTCAGCCATCCAAGCAACAAGACTATCCCTTACGTCTTGATTTAAGACCAAAACAATATCTCACAAGAGGTAATCACTGAACATATATTAACTTGATAACGTGCGTATTACTACAGGACAGCGACAGTAAAGAAAATACAATGCAGGTGCAGGTCCGTCCATCCTAATCGCAGATAGTTCAAATGGTGGGGGTGACATGTCTAAACGCAAATTCGGCGTTTGCACAAACTAGAAATAATCACAACCCGACGTGGGTAATCCCTCTTTCTCACGTCGCGTTGTGGGTATTTTGGATTTGCTCAATCGCCGAAGAACGATATAACTTCGGCATTTTAGTAAATCAATTTACCCACAACGCGGTCTGGGCATTTCACTTCGGCCAATGTCCGAATAAAATGCTCACTCCGCGACGTGGATATTTCACACTATCCACATCGCGGAGTGGGTAGAAATTTCGGACATTGTCCGAATCCGGAGATTGAGTGTAACATATATATATTATTAATTCTATATGGGGCAATAAAAAACTGAACCTTACCGAAACAAATAAATTTAAGATAGATACAAAAAAAATCACCTTTTTTCCATTTAAACCAGTGTTAGTAGGCTGGAAACAGGAAACGCGTTTTTACTTGAAGACTGTAGTAGTAGTTTAAGACTTTGTAGTAGTTGGTCAAAGATGTAAATAACTACGAACGAATTGCAAATGTTTTTGTTTTTATGTTGTTGATAGTGTTAAACTAAAACTGTACATTGTAAAACATGCACAATGAAATAAATTTGCCCGGTCTTATTTTCTCAGAGGTCAGTCAACAATATGGGTTATGATGGTAGGTCGGGTTGATATTCATTAAGTATAATGTACTATTCACATCTTGTGCAATAAATCCCTACTAAAAAAAGAAAAGAAAGAGACAATTTGAGTTATTATCTCAACTGACTGATTATGTAACTAAAGGTAAGCTCATTAGGGCACACGAAGATGTTTTTTAAGGTAGTTAAGTACGTTTACAATGTATTAACTTGTCAGCTTCAACATAAAGGAAACTTTAACACAAAAAGTTTATTTGTAGCCGCGTGTTCCCATTTTGTGGGCACTATTTTTGAGGGGCACGTCGTGAATATTTCTTTTGGGGAAGACACCCATGAATTGCAATTAATTAAATTTGTTTGTGACCTTTTTATTAAAATGTATTGCCACCACTCAGCTAACCGAAAAAGTATCACGTTTTTACGCCTAACATAGGTCTGCGACAGAAATTATTTTATTCAAACATATTTAATGTTTTCATTAATAAGTCGTGTGAAATGACAAATTTTGTACTTACTATCCTTTTTTTGCAATTACTTATTATTTTACCATGTATAGTTTTGAACTAGTCATTTCAGTTGTGTGAAAAAACATCTAAAATCAAGTTCAGTGAATGTATAGTTTTAAAGAGTTCAAATGGGTTATTCTATGCAAGAAACAAAATATACATTAAGTTTTTAATCGCATTTCTTTTGTCCCATGGAGGTACTGAAATTCTAATATTTGAAAAGCCGTGTCTCTTACCTTAGACCGATGATTGGCTTATAACTCTCAATAGTCTCAATTCTCGTTACCACCTCGTTGTGGCGTTTAAAATGACCCAAAATCTACTTTGAGCTACCCTAAAAATTAGCCTCAATGTAAATTATTGTGTTAAATGCTATATAACCTCGTTAAAATAATACAAATCTTCAAAAAGGTTGTTAATTATACTTAATAAGGTTTCAATATCAATCAATATATGTAAAAATATACTCGATTCTCAAAAACAACACGAAAAAAGTACAAAATGTTAATATTTAGCTCTATGTAATAAAAAATATCGAACCAAGAATTATTAATTATTGTACTTTTAATTGTATTAACCCATTACTACTATTTTTACAATAATCACTTCATGATACAGTACGGAACTATTAAAGCGTTAATTTATACATACAGTAATTTTTAGACACAATCGGTAAAATAATCCTAGCGTGCAATTCAACTCAATCACATAATTAAATAGCAAGAAAGAAGTAATGAATATTTTATTTATTATAACGTGTTATTGAATCGAACACAATTCAATCTAAAACATATAATTCACAAATACAGTATTGATAACGATAAGATCAATGATTATGAAAATCATAGCAATCGATTTAAACCGGTTGAGTCGCATATCACGGGTTTGCCATGATATGTAATGTATGTGTTTCCCCAAATTTTGAAGTTTTTCATGTTTCTAGTTAAATTTCTATTGTTATGCTAACTTTTAGTTTTACCCTAAAATTACCCTAAATATACCATTACCCTAAACGTTACCCTAAGACTAGTAAATAACCCAAAAAAAGGTAATTAACCTAAAAGTGACAACCCTAGCTAGGTGTCAGTTTCAGTTATTATTATAGCTTATTATAGCTTATATAGTCAATGCTTATAGTCAGTGGGTGTCGCACACATTGACTTTCGCAACAGGTCGTCCAACTGCTGTGATTGTCTCCAGAGTTGAACATTTTTTCACATTTTCTTTTGCAGGAGGTTGAGGTTAAAGGTGTAGTCCACTGTCTGTGGTGTACTGGTGTAAATTGGCGTTGTTCTATAAAAGCAAATTGTTCATGGTAGTAAGCTTAGAACACGACCTACAGGTTCTTAAGCAATGGATCAAGATAACGTCATTGAGGTATTGCATACAATTGGAGGTGTGAGGGTGTGAGTCACTGAATCCAATATTCAATGACTAATGATATTTTTGTGATAGTACCTATAGTTATAAACTGAATTTAAGATATCTTTATTCATAGTACCTATACAACATTGAATGATGTCATAGTGTACCGATAATAAAACTACACTATGATAAAACTAAAGAGTTAGGCCTATATTTTACAAGCTTCTCGTTAACAAATTTTAATATAATTATAGCTCTTTAAATATAACGAAGTTTTGCAAAACAGTTTCAACCTTTCTTCTCAAGCTAAATCAAGCCAATTATCTTTCAGTTCCACAGGGAGTCTACAATGCAATTTTGCACCTGCAGAAGATGATTTTTTGTTATAGATTTGAAGCATGTGAAAATAAGTAGGTCTAGTAATTTATTTTCTATTTCTGTGGAAATGTGTGATCGTCATCCTAGTCTGGAACTACATTATTCGACAAGGAAATGTTTTGTTTTCCTAATAC